AGTCAAGTGTAAGGACTAGATAGCAAGTTGATTTGTACGAATTGGTTTTAATCAATGGAACACAGTAGGTCCAAATCCAAGGCAGGTGGCCTCCCTAGACGAAGTTTTTCTCCCAGGTAGAAGTCACCTAGGCGAAAGCGATCGGGCCATTTCAACGCCGTACTGTGGAAGGTACCATCAGGACCTAACTCAGAGAAATGCCGCTTGTGGCTCCAACCACGTTGTGGCTTGGTGGAGATTCATATAGCGAAGTGTGTCGAAAATGATGAATTTCAATTACCGTTTTGGATATGAGAACAGCGACTGCGAGGGACGGTAAAGAAGCTGTGGGATGCTTACCTAACACACTTCCCATAGACCACATAACTGGATCTCGAAATGGCTAAGGAAAGATCTGAACGACTCTCAATAAATGTTTACGAACTTTTGGGACAACCTAATATATTGCACTTGAAACGGGAAAGTTTACAGTCGGAAAAATGTTTGTCGCGGGTCGGAGAAGCTCTTGTGCATTGCAATATGGTTCCCTCCCACTGACCAATATGGGGAGTAGATGAGGGGGGGGATAGAATAGCGTACTGCAGCGAATCCTGTTTTGCACAAAGAGTCTCTTGAGTATTTTTCCGCGATTTGCCGACAAAGTCTTCAAATTTGCCCGCTTCTTCCTATTTCCTCCCAGTCATTTCCTTTTCCTTCCTACACCCTATTTTTTCTTTGCCACAGACCTTTCAGTTTTGTATCTTTTGAACTTTGCTTTGCTTTTTCTATGCGGCGTTTTGCTTGGTGGGGGCAACTCGCTGATTCACCGACCACTGCCGATGCCGCAGAGACCTGTGAATTCCTATAAAGCTAACAGGGTACGTTGGGGATCCCCGGATAGGGAAAGGGCATGTAGGATAAGGATGAGGGGGTGGTCGCACCTGAAGTAGCTTTTTTTTCGGGGGGGTGTTCTGCAGAAATTTCGCCCAACTGCAGGAAGTGCCCTGAGAGCTATGTTACAGCGGGCTTTGTTCACACTTGACAAGAGTCTGCATGTCTCCACAAGGTTTGGACTGTAACAGGTACTGCAAGTTAACAGGAACTAGCAAAACAATTTCGCGGTGACACAAAATGCCCCCTCTAAGCCGAACAGCGCCTTGTCATGTTCTCAGATCTCTTTGATTACGTGTTGGAACAGTATCATCTTGTCATTTAGCCCTTTCAGTCATTCCTCGTCCCCACGTCATTTCCTGATCATTATCTACTTCCTGTTTACCGCACATTTGCAGTCACTCGTGGAAAATCAGTGAGTATACCGCTCCAATAACAAATAGCAGCCATTTTTGGCTGGTGGCGTACATACACGCTCGTCATGCCCTTACAGGCACTTGCCGTACACGGGAGAAAACTAGTTTTCTCCCGAAAAATGTCACTTGTCGTCGCGACTATTTTTGAACAACTCATTTTCACACGCCTGTAATTAACCCGGGTTTTCTTTTAGGATGTTCTTTTTGGACGCGTTTCTCAAAGGCCTCAAACCTCAATACGATGATGATGCATGCGATCGACTCAATTACTACTATACACCAATGCTTTTCGTGATTTTCTCGTTGACACTTAGCGCTAAACAGTAAGTTCATGCAAGTGTTCGTCCTTGAAAGAGCAACTTATGATCCAGTACATTCTGGGAGTCCCCCGCGCGCCGCTGAACCCTTCATTGTTGAAGAGCGCTTCCCGTTTTTGTGTTTCGGAAGCCACTGAGTCACTGAGAGGTTTTTCCACGCCGCGTGCTGTTGATTGAGAGTCTGGACGGGCCGTACAAAAGTGTTTTTGGAAGCCACGGGAGCAGAAAGGCCCATGACTTTGGTCGCATGTTCTTGCCTCAGTTGAAATAGGAGCAGGGTACAGCATCGTGATGTGTGAAATGGTGGGGTCAGTACGCTTTCCCCTCCCCCTCGAAGGAGGGTCTCGGTACGACCTTCACCTTCCTCAACACCTACCTACCACTTTCCTACAAGTTTCCCAGCTTCCTACCAGTTTTTCACCCAAAAATTTCCGTCGAGCGAGAAGGGGGGAGAGGGCCAGCAATGACCAAATGCGGTAAGGCGATAGAGCGGCCAACAACGACCGAATACGCTCCCTCCCCCATCCCAGCGGCCAAGTACCCCCTCCATGCGTTTCACACAACGATGCTGTACCCTGACTAGGAGTCCGCAGCCGAGTTCAATAACATTTTTGGACGCGGGAGGAGAGCTAGATCGTAAGCTTTGAAGAAGTGATATCTCAGAGGCACAGTCCGTGATGGCCGTTTGGGCGGAGACAGCTCGGCGTTTTGTTCCCCTCATTGGGATGCCCTCCACCGACTTGTATAGAGAGGCGAAGATAGGGAAAAGCCTAACAGTATGTAGGCCTGACCCTGCCTATACAGTCACCGTGGGCCGTACTTTCGAGGCTCGATTTACTGATGACTTGCCAATATTTATATTATTTAATATTTATTGATTTTTGTGAAACCACCAGTTTGGTGGACAACCCAACCAACAGTTTGGTGGACCCTTCATAGATCTAGATTTTATCTACTGAATGATGGGTTTTTGATGAACGACCTTGACGCCACACGCTTGGCATGGTCAAAAGGAAAATTTGGAGTGCAGCTGGAATATGTGCTAAAAACTGTCACGAGGTCAGAAGACGAATCACGTGCGCCCCGGTCCACCATCTCTCCTAATTGCCATTTCTGATCAAGAGTTTTTGCGGGTGCCACCATCAAAAGATGCCTATTGGGGTTAGCGTTAGAGGATCACCACGTTTCAGGACAAAGTCCACGCTGATCAAGTGGGCGGAGCTGGACCTACGCCTGTGACCTCCTCACTGACACAGAACCTCTTCTGCTCGCCTTCCTCTCCTAAAACATTCTGCACCGCCCAAAC